AATAATTATTTATATGTGTAACTTCTTATATTTAGTCGCTGTTGAACTTGACCCAAGCCGAATTATAGGATTTCATTTTTGAGGGGCAGGGAATGGCCATTCCCTCAAATGGGAGAATGCCATTTCAGTAAAAATGGGAATGGGATTCCAATTCCATCCAACCAAACGGTTGGAATCGGAATAGCCCATTCCGATTCCGATTCCAGACCCCTATCCCACAAATCAAATGGGGCCTTAATTATTTTATTTTCTAAGGGTCCGTTTGGTTCGTAGTCAGAATTGGAATCGAAATCGAAATCCCCCGAAATCAGAATGGGAATGAAATTCCAATTCCACACAACCAAACAGTTAGAATCGGCATAATCCATTCCATTCCGATTCCAGACCCCTATTCCTGCAAATCAAACGGACCTAAAGGCTATGTTTGGTTTGAAGGAAAAGATATGGAAAAAAAGGGAAATGTAGGGAAACCTATACAAGATTTGTAAAGGTTTCCCTATATTTCCCTTCCTTTCCCTATTCTTTCCTTCAAACCAAACACAGCCTAAGTGTTTTGCCTATTTGAATCATGCAATGCGCCATGTTTTTTATTTTTTATTTTTTGTTGTATTAAACATATAGATATTTTGAAATTCAGATCTCCTACCCACATGGCTTACAGCTATGCATCGAAAACATTTCCCTATAAATGACAACATGGGAGATGTTCTGAATGTACAACTCTACTGAGGATGGGTGGGAGATCCAAACTCAATATTTAGTCATTGACCAAAGGTAATTTTAAGAAATGTGATGCATGAATATGCGAGCACATCTTCACATCATTCTCACAGCCACTTGCAGCCCAATCGACTAAAATATGCATATCGCTGGTACAAATTAATATATTAAATAATCCAAAATTAAATAATATTATATACATTTGAATGACAGTTATTTTAAATTCATATTATCTCCATATCTATACAATTTATACAGAGGAACAAAGATCCACAAATATCCACAAGTCAACTTTTTATAATTCTTGCACTTCTTCACATGCAACAATATATCATTTTTATTATATTTATTAAAATTTAAAAATTAAGCTTGATATAAAATTGTGTATAGGCTTGCCTCAATCTCTGCTGGCCTATATCAATCTATATTAGTCTTTATCGCTTTGAATTGGTCCAATAAGAAACTGGTAACTGTTTATTGCGCTTTTCTGCATATGGATATTTATCCAATAAAATATTATCAGATTCCTGTTGCATTTTCAATAAAAATAGGACACAGGTAACTAGTAACGCACCAGACTTCGATCTGCAACATAAACTGCAACTCAGGAAATGTGTGTTGGGAGGGGGATGAATATCTCATCTCTGCATAGTATTATGTAGGGGGAGATGTTCCCAATTCACGGGGTGTTGTATTGTGGGTAGGCGTGGGCAGGGTTCTCATGGGAAGGAGATCCGGAGTTCTATTAAGATTCTATTTGAGATCACTTTTTTCGGCTTTTGTTTATAACTGACTTTGGATCTCCTATCCACGCCTACCTATAATGCACTACCCCCCGTGAATTAAGAAAATCTCCCCCACATAATATTATTCAGAGGATGAAATATTCTCCATGTGTGATTACGATTAACGTGGATAAAATTCTTGTGGGCAGGAGATCCAAACTCTATAGCCATATCTCATTTTATCGTAAATCAACTAGACAGTGAAGAATTCATATCACCTCCCAACAAAATACGTTCCAACACCTTACCACTAACATTTGACACCACACATCTTATACATAACAATGGCCCCAATGATATGGTGAGATGTACAATGTCAGATTAAATTGGTAGGGTTCTAGAACTTGTTTCAGAGGTCACATCAAGCCCCACATGCACATCTCAGCATGCATTGGGAACATTTCTTATAATTGTTATTGGGAGATGTTCCCAATGCACAGTTGGGATGTGCTGTGGGTTGCCCCTGTTGAGTGCCAACGTGAACTCTGTAATTCGTGGGTGAATAGAAATTTGGTTAGATTTGGCTTGGCAAATTTAGGTTTTGATGTCAATTTGGGTTCAGGCTAAATTTTATGTTTAGTGTTGGTCTCTGTTAGCTCATAATCTAACCCAATTCATGTAATTTCTACCCTTATGTTATTGGAGAGGATCAAAAGGGATTCAAAGAAATTTAAGAGAAAATGAGGGGTTTTAAGGGTGAGGGAAGATGTGCAAGAAATGAGAGGAAGAGAATTCAGTGTGAGCATTAAATTGAAAGCAATGTTTCTAAAACCGATCCAGAGGCTGAACTGTTTTTGCCTGTGTGTGTGTTTAAATATACATTTTTGCATTAATGTAGAAATGTGTTTTAGATATGTTATATGTATTATTTTATATTTAATTTATGTTTTTAATTCAGTTTTTAATTTTTTTATTTATAAAAACATTAAAAATTGCAATTACAAGCTGATGGTGCACGATCTGGATGCTCCTAATTGGAGGATGACCTAGAACTTGGCTGCATGGCAAACTGGTTCGATCTACAAAACAATGAAACTCAGAAAACCCGGGGTGGCTAACCCGGCGGGGTCGTTCCGATACTTAACTTAGTATTGCAAGCTGAAAGTTGAATGATAAATATATTAGTGAGCAAATAATCGTGCATACCTGAGCCCTGGAGGAATTGTTACCTTTTATATAACTAAGTTGTTATGTGTCTCACAAAACAATTCGAAGACTTTGGGGCAGTTCTATCTGCGATGTAGACTAGGAGTTAGGACCCGCCACTGGCACTGAATCGCATCATATTAACTTATTTTTTATTTCAAACACTGCTGTGTCCGTTTTCCATTGGAATCGCATCCCATCACAGTTGCAGCAGATGTACTCTGATCAACTGCTGCCTGTGTTGGGTCATTGTTAATATAAACTCAAATGGTCCATATGCAAGGACTCTTGGTCTTATAATTATTGCACACCGCATATCTAGTCAGTTAAAAGTGAATATTGACGGAGGTTTAAAAGAAGTTAGTTTTGCATCTTTTGGAACACTACTCATACTAGGTTGGATTTGGGATTTTATTGAATTCAAATTAGCTAAAGCTATATCTCTGTAGAGCCAGGCTTGTCGGTGAGAGAATGAGTGATTGTGGACAACTCATCTTGTGATAGAAGTTTTTGTGACTGCCTCGCAATTAATCCCTTTCAAAGTTTGAAAGGGACAACTCATTTTGCCTATCAAGTGGGAGTGCAATCAACGTAGTTGAGCACGAAAATTCTTATCCTCTTTTATTTTGAAATCTAGTTTCAAAGACTTTATGTTTATATTGAGTAAGATTTAGTTGATCGTTTTAGTTGTTCAATGGCCGAATCAATGATAAGATTTGATGTCAGTATTAAATACATGAGGTCTATGAATTTATCATTAATGTGAAACTTTATCATTAGTTCCACACCCACTGAATAGCTAAAGCGTTCATTTAATCCAAATTCGTTTATTTTGCATTACATTAGCCAAAAGCCTGCAATACAATCATCCCTGAACTCTGATCACCATAATTTGATCCCAAGTCTCCACTACAACAAATCGAACAACTTACCAACTGAACCCATCAATTTGTCTGTTGTAGTGGTTGTTAGTTTAGTTTGGTCTTGTATTGTGCTTTTTGTTCTTATCGTTGTAGTGGTTGACTGGTTGTTTCCTTGCGAAAAAAAAAATAGATTTTCATTAATTCCTAAAATAGTTATTATTTGTAAGGGTATTTTTGTACTTTGAGTATTTTAAAATAAATATTTCTAAATAATACCCATTATTTTGCTTAGCATTATATGAAATACCTCTGTAAAAAGGGTTCTTTAAACGTATCTATACTATATGCCAAAATGCAGTTCTCCATGTCAGACTTGACATTGTTTTTCAAATCCTTTAAAACTTTGTATTTTTTTTAATTTTAAAAATTAATAATTAAATACGGGGCTCTTTAAACTCACCAACAACCAGTTCAGTTAAGACATTGACTGTAATACGGGTAGATTTTTAATACCCATGCATTGCACGGGTCTCTTCAAGTCTAAAACTAAAATCAAAAGTCATAAACATATCATTGTGAGAGTTCCTCATAAATTAATCGAAAAAGTACGAATAGGCCTAATGCAGATTTCTGATTTTCACTGCAAAGTTATAAATATTCAGAAGGTCACACTCTTTGCATCCATATCAGCCCGTGAATTGACATCAATTTGTATCTGGCACCTACCCCAAATGTACTTTGAGCCTTCAAATTCTGACCTTGGAATTATCGGTCATTCTCCCTAAATTAATAAATTACTCGTCGATATTCATCAAAATTCACGAAGGTGTAGGAGTGGATGGTTTGATTGATCAAGCTCCCATAGGCTAGATGAGCTGCGTTTGATGGCTGTATTAGGGCCGTTTTAACCAATAAGTGCGCCTTTCATGTAGCAGCTTATGACGTTTCATGAGCTGAGAAACCTAGAATGGCATGAAGTTGTATTTGTTAAAAATCTGGAAAGCTGCAATTAGAAGCCATAAAATCATATATATATATATATATATATATATAATAAAAAATTACAAAAATGTAATATAAACATATTCATAAATAAATATATTTATACATATATTAATTTAAACATATCCTTTTATATATATCAGACCGGATCTTTTCTATCTTCTAATTCTACAATCCAAGAAGGTTATCTGACTCCGACAAAAATAACATCAGATTTGACCCGATCCATTTGCACCCTGATATAAGTACGGTCTAAATGGTTGTGGGCCATAAATATCTCTGGCTGGGGGCATTGTCCCTTATTAATCTACGGCCCATAATACAGAGGTCAACCTCGATTGTAAGCAAGGAAAACGAGGGAACGTTATATATAAAGTTCAACGGAAAATCCGATATCTCTGCCCACGAGAAATCCGCTCCCGGTGAACCTCCCACGAGCTTCCTGTCTAGGCTGCTGCAATAACTATCGGACTATTATAAGATCGTGCTCTTCTCCACTTCCACTGAGACAAGAGAGAAGAAGAAGAAGAAGATGAAGAGCGACACCGTGAACGGCGACGAACTGAATGAGCGGCTTTTGGAACGAGAAGCAGACATCGAGGAGATAGGGAGTTGTGTGCATTTCGTCAAGGAAGCGATAAACGAGAACAAGAAGCTCTGGTATTTGGCTGCTCCCGCCATTTTCACTTCCATCGCTCAGTATTCTCTTGGAGCCATCACTCAAGTGTTCGCTGGCCATCTCACCACTCTCGAGCTCGATGCCGTCTCCACTGAGAACATGGTCATCGCTGGCCTCGCTTTCGGCATCATGGTAATCTGCTCTCCTCGTCTTCTCCCCTTAATTTCTCTCACATATCTGTATGTAGAGCTAGAAGAATTAATAAATCTTACATCCGAGGACGGACTTTAGTTTAGGTTTTGACAATCGAAAATTTCGAATGGAATGCTTCGATTTTACATTTTCTATTTTTCTTTTCTTTTGGACTTTCTTTAAGTTCTTGTTGGTAGTGGTCGTCACGGCATCAAGAGATCACATTTAACCAGTAGTCTTACAAGTATCATGATCCACCATTTAATTGGTCCTACTGAAGAGATCGAGTCGTGCCAAATATCAGCATGATTAAATTGAAGAATTCATTTGATCTTCACATACAAACATAGAAAATTTTTATGTTTAGTGAGAATCGAATCCTCATTATGAGCCATTTGGAAGGGCTTAGGGCTTATGCTTTGATTAAGAGCCCTTTTGGTAGGGATTCTGCGTCAGAGGTGAGTTTGGATGGTGGTTGAGCATCTGTGTTTCCATGCAGCTATTTCATATTGGGTGGGGCCTACCTCATTTAATGTTGGGTCAAGATCGACTATTTCATTTTCATATATGATATTCGTGCGAGTGCGACTGTTCATCTAAGAAACCCTCGTTGAATAGAAAAAAAAAATCTTTGAGTGAAGTACTTGACGAAGCTGTAAGATGACGTTTATCATATTATAGCCTTCCCCTCTTTTCAAATTATGTCCTATTTGTCATTATTGCCACTCATATTCTTTGTATTTATCCCCAATACTTCAATATGAACCCCTATTCTTAGTTTGACCAAATTATCACAATATTAATGTGATTTTCCAAAGAAATCTTTTGGCCGCCCAATTCATCCAATTTCTTCCTTCATTGATTTTTGTTGTCATTCCAATTCAGATTCGATCCTTACAAAACCGTCTTCACAGCCCCTTTAATAAAAAATTATGGGATATTCCCATGCAAAAAGTTGTGAGTATCATGGTTTTGAAAATAGGATCGGACCAATTAACCCAGAAATTGGCATGATTTCGAGTCTGATTTTAGACCATAAAACCATCAGATGGTCAAAACTGTTTCATTTTCGGTCAAGTTTTCAAAACCCAAATCCGAGTTTGTCTGATTCAATCTGTCAACCCTTTCTTCAGCCACTTTTAATTTTTCTCACCGACTATAGTGAACCCAAGACAAAAGCCAGAAAGTGGATTTTGTTCCGGTTGGTTATTAGTGTGCAACAATTTTTCAATTCTATGTTGTTGTAAATTTTGACAGCAACAATTAGCAAGCATATACCTTTCTGTATTCATCCTTCTTGTAATTTCAACAGTTGGGAATGGGGAGTGCACTGGAGACACTGTGCGGGCAAGCATTCGGAGCAAAGAAGCTACACATGCTGGGTGTCTACATGCAGCGTTCCTGGGTCATACTCAACGTAACGTGCGTCTGTCTACTCCCCATTTATATCTTTGCCACACCGATCCTGAAGCTCTTCGGCCAGAACGACCAGATCGCTGAGCTTGCTGGAAAGTTCTCGCTCTACATGATCCCACAGTTGTTCGCCTACGGCTTCAATTTCCCCATACAGAAGTTCTTACAGGCACAAAGCAAAGTAATGACGATGGCATGGGTATCTGGGGTAGCCCTTTTGTTCCATATATTGTTGAGCTGGTTATTCATAGTTCAGTTCAAGCTCGGCTTGGCCGGTGCAGCGGCCGCGCTCAATATATCATGGTGGGTGGTGGTGTTGGGCCAGTTTGCTTACATAGCCATGGGCTATTGCCCTGGTGCCTGGACCGGCTTCAGTTGGAGCGCCTTCCGTGACTTGGGAGCTTTCGCCCGCCTCTCAGTTGCTTCGGCCATCATGATGTGGTAAGAGCCAATTAATTTGGCCAAACCCCATTTTGGGACCCTTCTCTCATTGGCTCACTCTGTTCAATTCAATGTAGGAAACCGCTGCTGAATAATGGGTCCCATTCCCAGCAACATTTGGTGGTGCTTGTACTTAGGGCCCACATTTGAACAATTTAGGGTCCGTTTGGTTCACAGTCAGAATTGGAATCAGAAACAAAATTTTTCGAAATCTGAAAGGTCCATTCTCTGTTTGGTTCAAACAGGAATGGAATTGAGAATTGGAATCAGCAGGAATGAAATTCCATTCCCAAGTGAAGGGCAGGGAATGGCTATTCCCTCAAATGGGGGAATGCCATTCCATTGTAATGATAATGGGATTTCGATTCTTCCAACCAAACAGTTGGTATCAGAATACCCCATTCCAATTCCAATTCTGGACCCCTATTCCTACAAACCAAACAGGGCCTTATTTGGGTTGGCAGGAATAGGGGTCTGGAATCAGCCATTCCAATTCCAACTATTTGATCAAATGGAGTTGAAATCCCATTTTCATTCTTGGTAGAATGAAATTTCCTCATTAATCTCCCTTCCTTGCCAATGAAATCTCATTCCAGCTTATTCCAATTTCCCTATGAACCAAACAGATGGAATAGACCATTCGGATTCCCGGTGCAAACCGAACTGACCCTGAGTTGTTTTGCAGTTCTATATATTATTATTAGCTAGCACTCTCATATTTGTGATTAACGGCTCCTCTCTCATGATCATGTAGCCTTGAATTCTGGTACTACATGGTACTGATCGTGCTGGCCGGCCGCTTGCAGAATGCCGAAATAGCAGTAGCTGCCATATCAATATGGTAAGGCTCTAGTCTGCTAGCTATACATATAAATTAAACGGCAGACCAATTTTCAGTGACTAAAGCTTCAATATTGACATTATTGTTCTGTTTTATCTATGCAGTAACAACTTGAATGGGTGGGAGATCATGATATTCTTCGGCTTCAATGCAGCTATCAGGTAAGCATGTATTTGTACCTGTCATTCACTGTACTAGGGACAAAATGCCCCACATATGTTGGCTATGATCTGTAGATTCAGATGCTTGGCTAAAATGTGAGGACACTTTCGACCATAAATTGAGTATATTTGAAAGGGTTGATAGATCACCCATTACAGATTTACTGTTAAGAACTGTACTGTCAGTAACTTGTTTCCATGTGCTGCTGCAGTGTGAGGATCTCAAATGAACTAGGAGCTGGTCGGCCAAATGCAGCCAAATTCTCAATACTAGTGGTGGTGCTTTCTTCAGCACTGATGGGGATGGTATTCTTCGTCCTCGTGCTAGCTCTGAGAAATGTGTATGCTCTCCCCTTCACAAACAGCTCCGAGGTTGCTGATGTTGTCTCTCATCTCGCCGTCATCTTTGCCTTCACATTGTTACTTAACAGTGTTCAGCCTGTTCTAACAGGTAAGTAAGAAAAATATAAAACAGGCTGCTGCATCTTCTCATTGCCACCATGGCTACAACAAGTGCCCCCCTCTTTCCAACATGACCCAGAAGTATCATTCAAATCTGGAAAGTCTTAAATCTTAAAGCTGCACATCTTCTGATTGCAGGAGTGGCCGTAGGAGCAGGATGGCAGTGGTTAGTGGCTTATGTCAATGTGGGATGTTATTACATTGTTGGCATTCCTCTTGGGTTCTGCCTCGGCTCTCTATTGAACATGGGAGTAAAGGTACACTAAATCAAACTCGTCCCCTGGGCCATCTATTGATCAGTAATCCTTGAAAATTTATAGGACCATTCTACTGGTCCTGTGATCCTAGTCCATTAACTGGATTTTGATGTATTACCTGGCATAACACTTGTCTTTGAATCATTTATTGCAAGTTCTGATCAATTTGAATGTTTTCGACATCTAATTGACAGGGAATATGGACTGGAATGATCACTGGAGTGGGCTTGCAAACCTTGATCCTTACAGGAATTACTCTTGCCACAAATTGGAACAAAGAGGTCTCTCTCTCTCTCTCTCTCTCTCTCTCTCTCTCTCTCTCTCTCTCGTTTAAAAGTCTCTCTTGCTCTTCGTTGCAGGCTATGCAAGCAGAATCTAGGATAAAGAAATGGGGTGGCTCTATAGACTCTCCAGTGAAAAACATAAAGGTAGTAAATCTACTTTGAAGACTGGGAGTACATACTCTTATCCTACTCGGGGAAATAAGATCAGCATTTCTCATCTATCTCTATCCTAAAGCTGTTCTTGTTTGTGGTTGGCAGGATTCCGAGAGCAAAAAGGTTTACAATGTTTAGTTTGATAAAACTACAAGTCACCAAACGAGGGGATCTAGCCAATCTCGCATGCCTATGAGCTTTCCTACTTCTCAAAATCGCCTGATGATTCACGGTTCACCGGTTCATAGTGATATTGATATATCTTTTTTTACCCGGTTACAATTAAGTGACCAATCGTACCATTTGCTTTGAAAAACAGAGACATTTTCACGGGCAAAAGAAAGCAGAGTGTAAAAGCTGTACTGTACTGTTTACTTCCTTAGAGGTAAACATTTTCCAAAGATAAACAAATGTCATCATTCGGTACTTTCAGTTCTGAAGATTTTGAGCTAGAGAAGAGAGAGAGAGAGAGGGGGTTCCGATTCCTCTGAACCATGACTACCTGGTTTCACGTAAACCCAGCCTTAATCCTATCTACTTGTGGTTGTGGTGGGCTACACGAATCCTGTTTTCCCAATCTGTTTTATCAAAAATAGGAAACAGCACAAAAATTCAATTGTAGGATCAAAAAAGTTATCATGTCGGTTACCAACCTAACACACAATAAAAGAATAAAAACAAAAACAACATGACGATACCGGAATTGTAGGACTAAATATCTGATTTCATATTAAAACTTTAAGGGTTAATTGTTGAAACCTTTCCTAAAGTTTATGACCGCCTTTGAAGTTTAGTAATTGCAATTACCTCCTTAGGCTTTCTAATAAGATTGGACGGATTTGGGCAGTGATTCATATGAATAAAAAATTTGAAAAACAAACATTTTTGTTAAAACTAATTGTATGGGTATTTTAAATATTTTAATGCCTTTTTAGAAAATTCTACTAGAGGGGTCTACTTGCAAATATATCAAAACATTCAGGGTGGTAATTGCAATTACCAAATTTCATGGAAAGTTTCAGTAGCAACCAGAAATTCAGGGTTGATTTCAGCAATTTACCCAAACTTTAAAAAACATACGCATATTTGGTGAATTATGTACACATAGATATTTAGTCAAATTTGATTACATCTCAATGGCACTAGTAGGGATATCAATTGGATTGGATTTGGTTCGATCCGATCCAATCCAATGTGAATCCATTACAAATGGATTAGGTCCAATCCAAGCCAATGAATAATTTGTACCATTTTGGACCAGTCCAATTCAATGTCTGGACCGTCCAATTTGTTCAAATTTGTTTTAATTTGGATTTGTATCAACTCAAACCCGGTCCATTGACACTTATATTCATATCTTATATCAATGGACCGGATATTGGCTTAATCCAACCGAATCCAATATAAATTTATTATGGACGGACCAGGTCTAGTCCAATCTAATATATATTTTGGACCAAATTGGTCCAATCTGATATGTCTTGTTGATCCGTCCAATCCATTCAAATTGATTTTGGACTGGACCCCATCCAGTCGAAGACCGGTCCATTGTCACCCTTAAGCACTAGCCCTTATTTATTTGCACTAATTATAAATAAGTTCAATACTAATGAAGAATTAAATGCACTTAAGCTTATGAAGTATGAACAAATGCCTTAGAAATAAAGGGTTTTAAGAGTGTAAATCAAAATGCACTTAGACTTCACTTAGAAATACTGCAAACAAATTATGTTAAATGCAAATACAAATGCACGGTTTCATGACAAATGATGGGATTTGTATTGCATTGTACATATTTATATTTACACACTCAAGGTTCAAAATTTTGATATGAATCATCTCGTATCAGAGCCTTCCCGATATGCCCCTTCAAGGGGTGTTTTGGGTCAATGAGTGGTTCAGGGGGTAGACCGGCCTTAAACCAGCCTCTCTGAACCAAATTCGAAAAAAATAAAAAAAAAAATAGTACCCATACAGGCTGATACGCCCTACCAGTGTATCGCCCTGTATCGATATTTTGAACCTTGTTTACGCTCCTCCCAAACAGAGAATTTAGGATTGGGGACCAAGAGACAACTCAATGTGAACTTACTTGGTTCAATAATTTATAACAAATGAGAGATTGAGGTAGGGGTGCAAATGACCGATCCTATTTTGTCGGATTCGAATATCCCTATTTCGGATCTTTGGATCGGATTATGATCACCCCCTATCCAATCCGATATAATATATATGTTATATCTATATATAATATGTCATATATATTTTATTTATAAATATGTTATTTATATTGCATATTTGTACATTTTTATATTATTTATTTTTTATGAAAAACATGTATATATATGATAAAAATGGTTGAAAAAAACTTGTATTTTTTTCTTTATTTTAGCTGTTATATTTTCTCTTCCTTTTAATAATTTATTAATTTTTTAAAAAATGAAATCGGATCGGATTGGATTAGATTCAAATATTCAACATTCTGATTGGATTCAAATTCGAATCAGTATGAGATCCAATCGGATCAGATCTATAGTGTATCAGATCACATTCAAATCCGATCCAATCAGATCTTCGAATCAGACCAGATCTATAGTGTATCAAATTGAATTCGAATATACCCTAATTTGAATACGATCTGATCTGTTTGCATCCCTAGATTGACAATGATGTTGCTCATAGAATTAGATTAGGATGGGTAAAATATACAAGTGCATTCGCAAGTTTTGTGGTAGGCATAAACAAGTTAGATTAGAAGGAATATATATACCTTTATATATTTTCATAATATATGTTATAAATATAAAAAACTGAAAAACCAAAAGAACCAAACCAATCACCCAATTGGTTTTGGTTTGGTTTCAATTCACGATTTTTCGAAACCAGTGATACTGGTCTTGTTTCAAAAAATAGCTCATGGTTTAGCTAAATATACTGTGAGAACCCCTACCTAACTCTAATAGATGATAAAATGAGATAATGTATACTAACCTATAAAAGGTGATTTGCTGCAAGTTGAAGAGGCTAAAAATGCTAGAGGTAGACAAAAGAGGGCATGAGTAAAAATAGCAAAAAATGATTTAAGCGCTAATAATTTATCTACAGATATGACATTAAAAATATGAAGTGGCAAAATAGGATTCATGTAGCAGAAACCATATAGTTGGAAAAAGGTTTGGTTGATGATGATGATTATCTTCGTGGACTCATAAGGCTTAAAACGATTTCAAGCTTCCAAACGTAATTCTATGTTTTGTATAATTTGCTAAATCATGTAAAGTAAAGATATAAAGAAAAGAAGCGTATTGTACATTTATTAGCATCCTTGCATTCATGGAATGAACCAAAATTTAAGTAAAGTAAATTTCTTAAACTACTCTTATGATTTAACTAATTAACTAAGTGTACCCTTACCGTTTGAAAATTGACATATGAATGGAATGGTTGAAATGTCCATTTTACCCTTTAATTCAAACTTTTTTGTCCCTCGTTTTAACACGTTTGTCCAGGTTTACTCAGTTGAACAGAACACCCGAAAGCAGAGACGGAGCACCATCGCCATCGCCTGCGACAGCGGTCGCTGCAACTTCCAAACGGCAGAACTTTGGTGAGAAATAGTATTTTTGGGATTTTTCTCGGCAGGTTGAGTTACTGTTCATCTTCTTTCTCCACTCGACAGAGAGGACGCAAAGCGGCAACACCCCCTTCCAATTTCTTCTCTTTTCCCTCTCTCTTCTTCCCGCTCTTCTTCTTCCCCCCATCAATCTCACTTCCCCTGTAAGTCTGAGACTGTGAGACCAGCTCATCTCCGCTACTACTTCTAGCAGCAACAATGGTCTGTCTCTCTTCTTTCCGCTATCCTTCTTCTCTTTCCTGCCGGAACCAGAGAGACCTATGCTTTTGTCGAACTAAAGGATGTCCAGACTGGCACTTGAGACTAGAGGATGTAGTCGGTTGATTGTTTGAGAGAGAGAGAGAGTTCTGCTTGAACTAACGGTCATAATCCCTGAGCAAATAAGGACGCAGGGAACGAATGATTTTTGGAGATTGGGAAGATGGAGGATTTAGGGAGAGATCTGTTCCATTCCCCTTTAAATTTTTGGGTTTCGTATCAATCGATCATTTCGGTTTTCCAAGAAAAGAGAACTAACGGAAGGCTACATACCAAGAACACACACTGGGGAAAACGTTCTCTCATTTTGTTCCTTCTCGTGCTGATACATTGATGTAGATGCAGATGCCGATGCCGGAGATAACCAACTTCGAGCCCCTCTCTCCCTCTAGAGCTGATACCAGAATCATCTCTCCCAAACTAAAAAGGGTATTTTCAAACATAAAAGGGTAAATTGTGTATTTTCAAAAATATAACAATCACATAATGGCACATGTGAGAACATTATCGGTAAAGAAAGTATTAGTCAATTGTCATAAAAGGGTACACTTAGTTAATTAGCTAAAACCATAAGGTAGTTTAAGAAACGAGTGGCTACAGGCCCGTTGCCAGTTCAAGTTCCTCTCACAATACATTTCTCACTACAAAATATCTTATCCGATCTGCTACTGTGTTACAAAATCAAACTCAAATGACCAGTTGAATGACTTTTTAGAGAGAGGGAGAGACCAGTTAGCTATCAAAGTCCAGATGTGTTTCCCAACTCATGCTCACTGTTTGGTGTGTTCATGGCTTACAAGACCAGATCAAATGAGCACATAAAACGAAAAGAGAATCAAAACCATTTATCTTACAGAAATCTCTTGCAACCTCAATAACAATTAACTTTGACAAACTCATCGCCTGCGCATGCCTCGGCCGCGGCCACGGAAAGCAGCTCCACGTCCTCGACCACCCATAACACTTGCAGCAGCCTCTCCTTGTGCACTCTCCGACTGCATTGGCAAGTTAAATGGAAGCCATAATGGTTAACAATTCAAATCTTAAAAATCCACATGGTGTATATGGTACATTAACAACTACGAAATAACACAATGAAGACTACAAGGGAACCCGCTAACTGGGAAAGGGGCAATGACAAAGATAAAAAGTATTTGACTTTTTAGTAGCAAAAATGATGCTCAGAACTGAAGAAATGCCTTTTTATTGATAATGAAAGAAAAATTAAAACAAACTAAAATTCTTTAAAACTAAGTGGCTTTTCCTCTTAAAACGAAGTTAGCATTACCTTAGGGTTTTTCACAGTTTCATCAACACTTAAAATAAGGCAAGCTGCCTCGGTAGCAGCATTTATAGCATTTATCTGAAATAGAAGATTCATGTGGTCAACAGAAAAGATATGATGACAAGAACAAGAAAGGAAAATGTGACCACAAATAAATCAACAATAAGCAAGATAAAAACGAGCAGTCATACACTTATACCTTCACAACTGCAGGCTCCCAAACAAAGTTAGCAAATGAATCCGCAATTCCACCAGTATTAATATCTACCCCATAAGGTGCACCCTCACCTGAGATAAGAATTGTAAGCATCTGGCTATGTTAGTAAAAAGGGTGGTCCTACATCTAGCCAATTAAAGCAATTTTGAGGATGGCATTAACCATCCTGGTAATTGCATCTATTTAGTTTACACATTGGGTGGCTATGGTCATTTAATCAAGCTGACTTTTGCACTTCTAGTTGGCCCCATTCAGCATATTCCTGAAAAAAGAACTAACCAGATGGAAGAGCGTGTTTCTGCCTGAGTTTGTTCAGCACATCAGTTGCATCAAAGCCAGCATTATCACACAGTTGCCGTGGAATAACCTGAAACAAGATGATGACATGAGCAACGAGAATAAGTTTATCATAAGCAACTAAGCCAGGAAAGCTGAAAAACCATGATTATATATGTTAAGCCCTATTAATGAAATTATTTAATTTAAACGTATTTTCAAGTATAAATTGCAGAGGTTCACATAATGGCCCCATAATTTGGTAGGGACCCACCATCCAAATTGAAAGATAAAGTAGACCACTATGGTTGACAAAGTACCAACCAAAGGAACACTTGGCAAAAGGTGAGCATCTTGTTGCCACAACTAGACAAGACACTCACCTAGGCATTGTCTAGGCAATGATTTTTTATATAAAAAATCCGGTTAGTTTTACTTTGTTTGCTAAGGTTTTTTTTATGAATTTGCCTAGGTCTTTTTATTATTTTTTTAGAGTTAGCTCATTGACATTAAAAGTGATCTAACACAAAGAAAATAAATCTCAAGAGTAGAATAGAAGCAACATCAGCCTGTGAGAAAAAAGAACCAAGGGTAGAGAGGGCTTATTCTTTGATGCAAAGAGCACATTACATGGAATACACAGAATATCCATGTGCTTGTGGGCATGCTAAATCAAAGAATGCATTTATGTGCATATATGAGAGAGTTAGATGTGGACGGAAAAAATAAATAAATAAAGGGGTGGAGACCCTATCCTTGTCTGCACGCAGTTAGAAAGGCAAAAAGGAACAACTTACAAAAAGTGATTTCCGAAGGGAAAAAAGAACGAATAAAGAGGTAGAGCCCCTGGTCTGACATAGAGAGAGGGGATGATGCCCTATATTGCTTATAGAACTGAGAGATATGTAGAAGAAGCCAACTTTGATGAATATCATGATTAAGGATACTAGATAAAGCCCTACTAAAGTGAACATATTACTTTCCCATCACTGTTGTGATATGGGAAGTGGTTAATATTGGCAGCAAATCCCTCAAGCACACCATGAGGACTCTCTCCAAGAGCACTTTTACACTCTCCCCTGCTTCATACCTCATACTAACTTGAGCGTCGAAGCCTCTGCCTCGGGTATCCACCCCAAGGTCTCTGACACTCCTTGTCTTGCAGTATCTCAGATAACCAAGGACTTCGCCTCGACACGCAGACCTCGGCTACCATAGTCCTCGAAAGGAGTACTTCACCTCGGTTTGCTGTCCTCGCCTTTGGTCAACCTCTTCCGAGGCCCCGAGGTCCTCGGCTACCGCTCGAAACTCGGCAAGTGAATTTACCTTGTTGCCCTCAGCTAACTCGTGCGGCAACAATTGGTGTCATCTATGGGAACGTGGCTTCTAAGACGACCCCCATTCCAAGATAAACAATAATAACACTCTAGATCCAAAACCCCTTTAAGCTCAGAAGTCATGGTGAGGAGAGCTACCTACGAACTGTTTCAGGCCATCCTCAATCGCTTGGACCGCCTCACCCAACGAATGGAAGAAGTTTGCCCCCGAGCAGGAGGTCCCTCTCAAGGCGACCGCCCCGCTGGGGTGTCAGAGGATCAAGGCCGACGTGAGAACATCGAGGTACCGGCCCTCGGCCACAGTAATCCGCTGGCCGAACCGTCAGAATCGGACAATAATTGCCTCCCCGACTCACCTCGAAGGAATATTTGTCCTCCTAGCCGAAGGGAGAGTGCCCGCTCAATCCGAAGACCGTCATCAATCTTCGGAGTAGCACCACCATCGTCGTAGGGAGGTCCCCCAGGACGATGGCAGGCAATTCGACCGCCCTGGAGTTCGCTCCCGAGGCGAGAGTTGATGCCATCCCACTCCACCTCCCGTCTTAGACCTTAGGGACGTTCTGAATGACCGTCGCACCCGCAGAAGAGCGCGCGACCCTGTCTCGGAGTATTCGGGAGTCCGAGCCGATGCCTAAACCGGTCACGGCGACTCCGCCGATCGCATGGACGCATTCACCCAAGAAATCATCTCTGAGCCTCTCCCCCCACACTTCAAGGCTCCCACACTGGAGACGTATGACAGAAGCACTGACCCCGATGACCACCTGGAGGGTTTCAGGGCGCTCATGATACTATACGGCTATTCCGACGCCTTGACGTGCCACGCCTTCCAGGCTACCTTCAAGGGGGGCCGCTCGCCGCTGGTTCTCCAACCTTCCTCCTCGGTCAATCAGCTCGTGGAAGCAATTTACAACTCTGTTCCTCGCCCGCTTCATCAACAACAAACGATGCCAGAAGAGCATAGTCTCTCTGATGTCACTCAAACAAGAGTCGGGTGAAAGCCTACGGTCTTACATCGACCACTTCAAGAAAAAAGAGCTCGAAGTGCGAGACCTCGACCCTATGGTCTCCATGCACGCGGCCATCAACGGACTCAGCCCCAGATCAGCTCTCAAGTGCTCGGTTGCCAAGACCCCGCCGAAGACTAAACTCGAATTCCTCAAAAAGGCCCAAAAATACATTGCGGTCGAAGAGGCCCGGAGAAGAAGAGGAAAGGTGGAGACCAATGCCACCCTAGCAACAATGGCGGCAAAGACAACAAGAAGCTCGCCACCCTGGCCTACAAGGACTACATGCCACTTAACTCCACCTACACCCAGATACTGATGCAAATAGGGGAAGAGAAGTTCGTAAAGTAGCCAACGAAACTGAAGCGGAACCCCAATAGGGGGAACCCTACGAAGTACTACAAGTACCACCGCGGCACCGGGCACGACACCGAGGACTATTACGATCTAAAGAATGAAATAGTGTCCCTCATTTGCCGAGGACACCTCAAGGAGTTTGTCGGAGGAGAGGCCAGCGCCTCGTCATCCCAGCAACAGTAGCACCAACACCAGCAAGTGGCAGGCATCGTCGGCGGGGACATGGCCTTAGGTGGAGCCTCGGCCTCGACTTGAAAAAGCAGAAGTACCCGGACTCTTCACAAAGGCCAAGTTGTCTACATGCCCTCGTCTTCACGGACAAGGACTTAGAGGGGGTTACTGTCCCCCACGACGATGCCCTCGTGGTCGCAGCCATCATCTCCAATTTTATGGTGAAGAAGATCTTAGTGGATAGCGGATCATCAGTCGATATCATTTTTTAAAACACCTATAAGAGAATGAAGCATGCGCCAAAGCGATTCCAGCTAGCTGACGCTCTCGTCAGCTTCTCCGGCAGCGTCACCAGACCGGAAGGAAAGATTACCCTACCCATCACGATAGGGACAGGGACAGCGCCACACTAGGTGACTTGAATGCATGAGCTCCTAGTGGCGAAGGTTGCCTCTCCCTACAACGCGACAATGGGAAGACCAACCCTTCATGCACTAAGGGCAGCCATGTCCTCTTATCATTTGGCACTTAAGTTTCCCACGAGTACGACGTCGGAGTCGTTCGTGGGAACCAACAGATCGCCCGCAAATGCTACGTGGCGGCACTAAAAGGAAAGAATTAAGGAGGCCTTATCACTAGAGGGCCTCGACCCCCAGGAAGAACCAGCGAGACGAGGCCAACCAGCTGACGACCTTGTCTCGGTTCTCCTAGATGAGTCAGCCCCAAAAAGGACAGTCTGCATCGGGTCCAACCTCCCCCTTGAACGCCTATCTGAACTGGCAAGTTTCCTCAAAACTAACGCCGATGTCTTTGCTTGGTCCGCCACTGACATGCCCGGAATTGACCCTTCAGTCATTACTCACAGGCTGAGCGTGGACCCGAGCTCTAAGCCAGTTCGGCAAAAGAAGAGGAACTTTGCACCAGAATGATGGAAGGCCATAGGAGAGGAAGTTGATAAGCTACTCGACGTCGGCTTCACCCGTGA